TCTAGGCAGATAACGCAACCAGAAACCCGGGGGCAGCTCTATTAAACTGCCGCCATCAGCAAGATCCCGCCCAGTAAGTCCCCAAATCATTTTTAAACAAAGTACTTATCATAAGCCTGGCTACTCAGTGTTTACAGGTAGTCTTCAACTCAGGGTGGCAATTCGGACTGGAATTTCTTAGCGACGGCAATCCTTGCAGTCCTAATTGCTGTCATTAACTGACTTCCACAGTTGTAAGATGACACAACTTCCTGCTGGCTCTCCACAACCAAAGTCAGTTGGGAAGCCAGCAGAAAGCAACAAGTCCAAGGCCAGCATGCAGGTAAGTGGCTGCTGCAGGGTCAGGTAGGGAGTGAGAGAGTGTGGGTGAGTTTCAGAGAGGGTGTGATGGGGTGTGGAAGAGGTGCTGTGTTGTTCAGGTGCACAATGGTTCAAGAGGGTATACAAGAGGCGATGCTTGGAGGTGCATGAGAAGCACAGGTTAGGGGTATGTGAGGGGGTGCATGAGAGGCACCAAGTGGGTCAGGGAGCATGTGTGAGAGGCACCGTACAGGTTGAGGAGGGTGGGTGAGTAGGTATTCAAGAAACAATGGGTTGGGGAGGTTGTGTGCATGCCTGGTGCTGCGTGAGCACAGAGGGCTGGGAAAAGGTGCACAGATGGAGATTTACCCCAGCAACTTGCAACCTTCATTTCCCCATTCACTTTCTGGGGAAACTGGCAAGGAAGGTTGCAAATGGTGATCACATGATTGTGGGGCACTTGGCAACTGGTCGTAAGTACAAACAAGTTGCTGAGCAACCAGATTGCAATCTTGTGACCGCAGGGGTGCTGGGATGGCTGGAACTCTGAGAACTGATTGTAACCACCATGGTTCAGTGCCATTGTAACTTGGAATGGTTACTGACTGGTCATAGGTGTAGCATGACCTGTGTTCCCAATAAGAGTATAGATTATATTATCAAATTTACCCAGCAAGATCTTAGAACAATTATGCCTGATAAAGTATATCCTGTCCTAGTCATAATCCTGCTTAAAAAGCATGGTACATTGATTACTACTAGTTTAGGCATCACTATTGCTGATGTACCTTATAAATTCCTGGAGTCGGCCTCCAGAGTGTACTGCATTTCCAGTCAGCCCTGATTAATCAGCTATGCTTCCTCAGTTTCTTTGACACTATGCTAGTAAAGTAGTCTGGACTACTGTGTGTGAAGTTAATACATTTATGGAAAAAAATTGAGAACAGAGTATTTGAGTTTTTGGACAATAGATACTAGCTTATGGGCCAAGGTGGCGCAGTGGTTAAATGCAGCACTGCAGGCTACTGCTAGATCAGCAGGTCAGCGGTTCAAATCTCACCGGCTCAGGGTTGACTCA